AGCCATGAGTGAAAACAGGGGCGTCACATTGATGAAGAGGCTTTCAAGTAAAACATTTAACCACTCTAAGAGCGTGCGTGAGCAGATTATGGAAATGAGGGACATCGCTGCTCAACTCAAGTGCATTGAGATAGAAATTTCTGAATCATTTCTAATGCATTTCATTTTGAATTCTCTCCCTTTTGAATATGGGTCATTTAAAATTTCTCACAATATACATAAGGAAAAATGGTATGTGAATGAATTGTTGACCATGAAGCCTGAAAGTGCTCATTTGGCAACTCATAATAAAGGAATCATTGGGAAGAACAATCATGCTCAACAAGGAAAGAAGAAATAAAATGTGCCAATGAAGAAATATGACGATAAGGATAAATGCTTCTTTCGCAAAAAGACTAGGCATATGAAGGAAGATTGTATTAAGTATATGAAATGGCTCATAAAGAAATGTAATTTCATCTCTTTTGTGTGTCATGAATCCTTTTTTGTTGAATTTCCAAATAATTCATGATGGGATTGATTCTGGTTCTACAATCTATATTGTCAATACCATGCATGACTTTCTCAAACTAAGGAAGCAGAAGGGAAATGAACAGTGCATCTATTCAGGAAATCAGATGTGTTCACAAGTCGAGGTTGTGGGAACCTTCAGATTGATTTTGAAGACCGGTTTCACATTGGATTTAGAAAATTCTTTTATGTTCCAAAATTCTTAGAAACTTAGTTTCAATTTCAAAATTAGTTTCTGTTGGTTATGGTTTTCATTTTGAAGGAACTTATTTGGATATTTAATTGAATAAAGTCCATGTTGGTGGTGGAACCTTAATTCATATTTTATATAAATTTGATCTAGATTCCACATTTGAATCGACTTATTTAAATATGCATGTTGATGTCGGTATGAAGCAAAATTTTATTAATGAGAACTCTTCTGCCTTATGGCATAGGAGATTGAGACATATCTTCATAGAGCAACTTAAGAGATTAGCGAATGATGGAGTTTTAAAAACTCTTACTTTTTCTAATTTTCATTATATATATATATAAAGCAGAGACAGTAGATGTCTCTAAGAGCTATATGGCGGAGGTAGAGAAACAAAAGGATAAGAAGATTAAAATTGTAACATGTGGTCAAGGGAAAAATACCAGGTCACTTTTTCAATCAATATCATTATCCACACAATGAACTAGAAAGGAAATAGATGAAGAATATATGTTATGCATCTGTCGTGGGTAGCTTGATGTATGAACATGTTTGCACTCGACCTAACATTGGATTTGCAGTAGGATTATTGGGTCGATATCAGAGTAATCCTGGTATGAAATATTGGATAGCTGCTAAAAGAGTCATGAGATATTTGAAGGGAACCAAGGGCTGCAAATTGACTTACAGTCATAATGATCATTTGGCGGTGGTTGGTTATTCAGATTCGAACTTTGCTGGATGCGTAGACTCAAGAAAATCTACTTCGGGATATGTGTTCCTTCTTATGAAAGGTGCTATATCTTGGAGGAGTACAAAGCAAACAATTGTTGCTTCATCTACCATAGAGGCAGAGTTTATTGCGTGCTATGAAGTCACCACACAAGCATTATGGTTGAGGAACTTTATCTCAGGTCTCGAAGTCATTGATGTCAGGCTTATGAAGATCTATTATGATAATTAAGCAGTTGTTTTCTTCTCCAAAAATAATAAAAGTGAAAGCCGAAGCAAGCATATTGACATAAAGTAGCTTAGTGTCAGAGAGAATGTGAAACAAAGTGTTGTGTCCATTCAACACATGAATACCAAGCTTATGATTGCAGATCCAATGACTAAAGGATAGCTCGCAAACCAGTTCCTAAGTCAAGTGGAGCATATAAGGTTGTTTTAGCTTGTTATGTGTTTATTTTTCTCTCTAGTTGTTTTTATACATGTTTTGAATATTCTTGGAGAATAAAGTTTGATTTTATAGTGCACATCATATTTAAATTATATCCGTTAGGATAGTTACAGTAGAACCTGTTGATGTTAAATAATCAAACAGTCAAATATATGTGATGGGTGAGGTTGATGAGGGGCCGCTTCCTTCCCCAAATATCTAGTTCTAAGTTGAGTAGCTAAACCCTGCATAAATAATAATTCGTGAGAGGACAAGGACTGGTTCCCCCGTGGTTCCTCTGACGATTAAGTCAGTTGATGAATTTGAGTAGGGAAATGAAGAACTGCTTGAGTTCTTATGTGTAGTATAGTATAATTTATAGGTATTGCTTAGAATAACTTAGATTCAAGACCAGAGATCAGAGAAGATCCCCTATATGTTAGAATAGTACCTCTATTTATACTAGTGGTATAAGGGTAGAACCGTTATTTTGAGTACAGTATTAGCCTACTTGTATAGGGAGATGACGAAAATAGCACTCGTACAAAACAAAAATTAAAGGGTTGCCTCACTTTGCTACAGATATGGTCATGGGAGCGATTGCATTTGGGAACACCTGATTTGAGGGAGGCATGCGCTCTCGATGGCCATATTTCGTTAGGATGCAGGTATTATTAAGATGCATGTAATTTTAGTGCTTTATTTCAATATATACTAACCCGTTGTATATAAATTAAGATGCATGTAATTTTAGTGCTTTATTTCAATATATACTAACCCGTTGTATATAAAATAGATGGAATGTGTCCAGATCTTGGATACTAACCCGTTGTATATAAAATAGATGGAATGTGTCCAGATCTTGGCAAACCTCTCCAAAGGGGCATAAAAACTTTTACAGAAACGAGCTTGATCAGATGGAGGATGAACAAGTACAAAAATTATAATATCTAAATATATTCAATTATACGACCAATTGTTACCGATATCTAAATATATTCAATCAATATATCATAATATCTTCTTTATAGGTCAAATGGATGCCCTACGAGCTAGTCTTGGAGTCACTACCGGATATTTGCCGGGAAGGTGATGATGTATGGTGTGCTCGCATCCCACTTATATGCTTTAAGATTGTCGAAATGCACGTGCCTGACCGTGTGCTTCGACAATTTGAACTACGACAACATATTCCAAGGCCTATGGAGAGAATAGAGAGAAATCCAAGAAAAGGTGCACACCATGCTAATTAGGAAGTAATTCGCCAAGATTACATCCAGAGGTGGGATTTAAGGGAAGAACAAGTAGTGATGGAGAGGGCTGATGCACCTGACCTAGGTGTGTACCTGTAGTGGTATTGGGGGATTACTCACCGGTGGATATTTCAGGAAAACAAAGCCCCGAAAGAGTACATACCAAGAGGCCCAGTCAAGAGAGAGTTGGTAAGTGTATAAGAAAAATATACAATTATTTTCTGAGTTTTATTTTCTCACCATCCACTTGATAATATTTTTCTTTCGATTTTTATTTTATAGGTACAAGAGCTCGAAGAGCTTTCTACTATGTCACATGACGCATTGCGCACGACTACCGAGCAGGAGCCGAGGAACACGTTCCTTCGAATGATAAAAAAGATATGGTCGGCTCTTCAGAGGACGCGTAATGCAAGCCGCGATGGACGGGAGGAGCGACCAATTGAGTATGGGCGGCGACGTCGATGAGGACACACGGGGGCGGGATCAAGCCGTGCACATGATGAAGCTGGCGGCTCACAGCAGGCTCAGGCTGGATGTTCACAGGCGGTTCGAGTCGACGCGGATGTCATGCGCTACCAACTTCACACACAACCGAACGAGGAACTTATCCGAGCTCACGTCGAAGGTGAACGGGGAAGGGGGAGAGGAAGAAGAGGGAGAGGGAGAGGGAGAGGGAGGGGAAAGGGCGTTGTTGATATTTATTAAGTTTCGATGGACTTGATAGGATGTTTGAGTTTGAGTTGCAATTTGGACTTGATATGTTGTTTGTGTTGCGATGGATTTGATATAATGTTAAGTTTACGAATATGAATTGTACGTATGATATTTGTATTTGTGATTGCATTGTGGATTGATAATAGGAGTATGATTGCATTTTAGCATGTGTTATTTGTGATTACATTTTGTACTACAGGAAGTATGAGTTTCCAGGTGAATGTGGGTTGGAAGGAGGTCTGCAAAATGGTCGGGGTTGGGAACCCCGACCATTTTGTGCACCTACACTGGCCCTGCGTTTGGGCTCTGCTTAATGGTCGGGGTTGGGAACCCCGACCAATTCGTCCACTGGTTAAACCCAGCGACGGCTGGGCTCTGCTAATTGGTCGGGGTTGGGAACCTCGACCAATTAGTTAAGTGTTTCGTAGCAGATGGACTAAATAGTCGGGGTTGCCAACCCCGACTGTTTACGAGGCCGTTTAAAAAATAATCGACCCGCTTTCTTGCCACGGCGCTGACGTGGCGAGAAACCAGGTCGATTCCGCTAAATACAACTCAACAAGGTCGAATTCGGTAATAAAAAGTTAAAACGGGTCTATAGTGAAAATTTCCTCCATCAAAATAACGTGTTTAAAAAGATGCCATACTCACACGTCAAATGGTCAACGATTTTTTTTTAACCCATAAAACCCATATATGCATGTGTAAGAAATCTTTAAAAAAGAATTTCTTAAGCATATTCATCTTTGAACGAGTGTCATAAATCACCCTTTGATTCTCGTGCATGCACTTGCGAGTTCTAAAATGTCTCTTAACAAACATCTGGCGATTGATAACATTATATGATAGTTTGTGTTTGTTTCAATTTGGATATCTTTATATTTATCCTGATGATCAATTGAATGCATATTTTGCATATACAGAAAAAAGCTCTTGAAAAAAGCTCTTGCAATGTGCGCATATGGCCTAGATATAAACGAGAACAGTGATATACGTGCAACACACGTGCACAATACTAGTTTACCAAAATTGCACTTGAACCATAGTCCTCCTGGTTTGGATCCTCAATTGGATCCCATGGATTCATAGTTGATTCACAGGCGGGTCTTGTAACATCCGACCCGAAATCGACCCGTTCCGTTCTCCCTAAAGGCTCCCAGAAGCCCCCCGACTGTTTTCTTGAGACCCAAGAGAATCGAAATTATACAAAGGAAAAAAAAAAGAAAAAAAAAAGAAACCCAAACTCCATCACCCATCTCCTTCTTCAACCTTCATCAATGGCGGGTCGCAACTGGATGTACGAGAACAACGGCGGGTAAATCTCCATCTCATCACCATCATATTCTCCTTCTTTCCCTGAATTTCGAGATTTTTAGCACTAATTTCTTCCCCCCTTTTTCGATTTTCAGTACTTGTGTTGCGATCGCTGGATTGGATTACTGCGTAGTGGCGGCCGATACGAGGTTGTCCGTTGGATACAGCATTTACACCCGTGATTACTCGAAGATCTGCCAACTGTGAGGATCTTCTCTTCACTTGCTCTTGTTCTATTGTTTGCCCTAGGGTGAAATTTCTGTAGTATGAAATCTAGAGTTTTGGCTGTTTTGATTAGTTTTTGATGATGGTTGATTAGGGTTAGGGCTTAGGAGTTAGGGGAGTGCTTTGTGCTCTGATGTTTGTTTCGCTGTGTTCTGATCCTAATGTTGTCAAAATTGTAGTTTGAACCTAATTTGTGTGGAAATTTGATATCTTTAGTGAGAAAGTGGCTGCACTGAAAAGTGTAGGTGGCAGCCGACACGAGGCTGTCCGATGCGCATGTTGTTTACGTTCGTGATTACTCAAAGATCTGCCAGCTGTGAGGATGTTTTGTCATCTAGCAATTGTTATATTGCTTGCCCTAGAAATTTTGGTAGAATGAAATTTAGGGCTTTGGTTGTGATTTTGGTTGTTTTGGTTAGTTTCTTAGTGATGGTAAGTTAGGATTAGGACTTAGGGGATTGCTTTGTGATCTGATGTTTATTACACTGTGTTTTGATATTAACATTGTCAAAATCATTCTTTTAAAAAATTTCATATGCACTAGGATAAATTTCTTTTGTTTCTATTATTAGCCTAGAAATTTTGCTAGATAGAAACGTAGGGTTTTGGTTAGGCTATTTGGTTGTATTGATTGGGTTTTACTAACGTGGATTAGAGTTAGGACTTGAGGGAATGCATTTTTCTTTTTATCTTTTTTTAGTGTGTTTTAATGTTAAGATCAAAATTGCATTTTGAAAAAGATATAATCATGTGGATATTTGATATCTTAGTAAGAAAATAGGCAATTTAACCATAGGTGTATCAGGTTTTTACATTGACAAGAGGGTTAAAAATAATTTGGGGTCATTCAAGGAGCAGATACAATGTTCACTTTTTGTTATGGATCTAGGAAGCTGTCACATTACCGAACTGGATAGTTCAGAGTTTTTGCTACTGACTGTCTTTGCTATGTGTTATATAGCACAAATGTATTGTACAGAATTTCTTTGTGGAGAAGAAACAAGCGCTCGCGAAATTTTTTATTTCTTGGACTCATTCCTGTCCTTTAGAATCACCATTATCTCGATTTCAAGATCGTTGTAGCTTTTTTCTTTGCAAAGGCTTCGCCAAAAACGTTGACAAGTTTGAGATCTTTATACCAAGTTGACGTCTAGAACAATATCAACCTGAAGTCTAGAACACATTCTCTTGAGTTTGATTAATTCAGAGAACGAGATAATGTAAGGTTCCTATTGGTTTTGGGCAGATTGAAACCTGGGCTCTGATGCATATCCAAAATCAACTTAAGTCCCTAGTTTAGGGCAATATGCCCTTTGTGTTTTTTGTTCCTATGTTTCCTCTGAGTAGTTTTCTTCACTTCATTTTTGAACTTCTTGTTATAATTTAAAATGACTGATTTTGTGGGTTATCTTATTATAAAAACTTGCAAAATATAGACAATTTCCTTTCCAATTATATGGCTTACGTCCTATAAGTTATGCATATGCTGTTTGGTGTTGGTTTTGTGTCTAGTGATAACAGAGAGTTTAATTTAGTGATATCTGCCTGATTACTCTAATCCTGATTGGACAAAAATTGTCCATATTAACTTGTACTATTTTTAGGTTCTGTGTTCTGACTTGTAAAGGTATAATGAAATATAAGCATGCACATGGCTAAAGTGACCAATTATCTTATATTGAAACTATTGAAGGGTAAAATACTGGCATGCACATGGCCAAACTGACCAATTGTCCTACCTTCATGTGGTCATATTTTGAGTGAGATGACACCCTTTGTCTTGCATTACTGTCAAAGGGGGCTAGAAAAACAGCAAATAGGAGAGTCAGGTTAATCTTGATATAAGACCAGCTATGAACAGGTCTAAGTGGATTACATGCTCCACAAGAAGGGTTGACTAGTACTTTTAGTGTTATTTATGCAGTATGATAACTATCTTTTTATGCTTGTAGCTAGATGCAATACCCCAGTGTAAATTTGTTTAGGCAGACTAGCTTGGGTAAGAATTCTTGCACAACCATGCCTCTTTGAGAACTTAAGGCAATATTGCAGTAGATTAAGCAATCTCCGAAATCCTCTCTCCTTTCAGCAAGATATTGCATGGGGACACGTCTGGCTGGACACAACTAGTATCAATCATGATCACAACTAGTTTACACACTGGAATGATTTTTTTAATTCGTCTAACAAAGAAACTGCTTGATAGGCAGTATTTAATTTCGTAATTTTTTTAATGTATTATATATATATATAATGATTATGACCCTTATTTGTTATGTGTATATGCAGAGCGGACAAAAGTGTATTAGCATCCTCTGGATTCCAGGGTGATATCAAGGCTTTGCAGAAAAACTTGGCTGCAAAGCACCTGGTGAGCATTATTGAATTGTGTGCCGACTGCTAGACAATGAAATATATTGCTTCTTTGTGAGTTTGAACGTCTGAAAGGAGCATAGCATTATACATGGTTATGCTTTAATTTCATTTAGCATTATACATGGTTATGCTTTAATTTCATGCTTTCGTTATTGCATTCCGCATTTATATGGTATTAGATGTTTCCATATTTTTATCCCTTAATCGGTATTCTTGCTGTACACATACTCATAGTGCCATAGTGCATGTGTGTATGGCTGTAGTTGCTTATTTTATTACAGCTATTCAAGTAATTTGCTATTTGCCTTCGCACGGCTAGATGCTGGTATCTGAATATCAAGATACCTGTCTACCTTATTTGCTATTAGTTGATAGTACTGTAAGTCTAATTGAAAAGTTTGGATTTCTTGCTTGCCATTACTTCATAGTTCTGTATGTCCATTGCAAAAAGAAATGCATTTCATGAAAAAAGTAGGTTTGATTATCTTTAAATCTGTTTCTTGTCATTGAAAAATTCTTGTTGCTTTGAATATCTATTTCCACATATATCAGATATACTTGACTGATATTTCTTCAGCTATATAAGAGTATTTACTATAAAACATGCTAAATACTATGTGAACAGTTGTGTGGATAAACTGAACATAGAAGGCCTTTATTTAACAATTCTGCAGTCTTTTGTAATGCTGGCCTAACAAACACGCAAAAATGTGAATGCTTTTTCCTTTTTTTATTTTTCAGTTATAATAATTGATAGTCAATGCCAAATTGCCAATGTTATAGAAAATTTAGGCGCTGGACCGGCGTCTATGCTGATTTCCTTCTTCGTTTTAGAGGTGGTGGAAGTTTTGTTGAAGGTCGGAGGAGGTAGAGAAGTGTTCATAGTTGGAGGCTAGAGAAGGTTGGAGGACGTGGAGGCTGTAATGGAGGCAATCACAATCAACGCCTAAAGGGTGTAGTCTACATACGAAGACCACGCTCCCCCATGCACTCCCAAAACCTGGGTGGGTAGCCTAGGTGTCGCCTAGGCTCTAGGAGAGCTGTCTAGGTACTGCCTAGGCCTAGGGGTACGCCTAGGCGAGCTAGGCAGAGGCTTTTTAAAACATTGAATACGACGATGAACAATATAAAAGGCAAGGTTTTGAGAAAAGGAAAGGAAGGGATTTATGATAGTTGCTTTGCTCAACACGAACCATATGCAGGGGACATGTCAAAATGGTATATCTGAACGTATGGCTGCATGGTCATACCTTTAAAGATGATTTTATTGAAACCATTTTGTCATTATGAATATCACACTCTTTTTGATAAGTTTTCTAAAATAAAGTGCTTTATAGACTAATGTTGCTAAAATTAGAATTGCATTAAAAAACATCATAGGCCTCAGATAAGTGGGCCATGAATTGAACTGTGTATCCTTTGGTCCATTCACATCAATCAAGTATTACAAACATGCATTGGGAGTGAATCTACACAAAGTGAGAGCAATCAACTACCATCTAAGTTGCATGGAAATGGGTACCGGTGCAGGTGCGGGTACGTGTACAGAGACAATAAATATGTAAAATGTCGAGGACACGAAGACATATATATTGGAATTAATGATTTACATGAGATCATTATTGTTTTTCAACTTATGTGCTACTAATATTCCGATGCACGCGATGCGTGCATGATTCGATCTCTCTTTTTGCCTAATAGAAGTATGATACTTAATGGTTGATGCTAATATAAATAGGTTATCAAATAAATATCTTATAGTGAGTATTGTCTGTAGACAACAAAATATTGATGCGAATATAATAAAAATTTTCTAAAAGTAAAATTCAAATATAAAAAAGATATCAGTTATGTGCATGTATGTGTGATTGTGCCAGTCCAAAAAACAGTTGGCATGTAAAAATTATGAAATTTCACCAGAGATGGCAGTGCTGAAATGTGAACTTTAATCGAAGGCATCATAGGGAATATCCAAATTTTCTGTCATGAAATTATGTAATTCAAAAGAAGAGATCAACCTACAAGAATCGAGAATCTTATTAAATTCTTTTTAACCTTTATTATTGCATTCTGCTTCTTGCTTTTCAAGATTTTGTTCAAGTGAAGGAATTGTGCATTGACCCTCAACTGAAGGTTTTCCTCCAAGTAATCTTTTAGATCCTCATGTAGGCCTTCAAAATGTTAAGACTCAGCCTACATATTTGAAGCAAAAAATATAATTACAACCTCAACATCCTATATAAAAAATAGACCCACTAAACAAAAAAACACCAGGTAGATGAAAATTGGTTAGTTCAATTTTGGAAATCATGACTGATCTAGAATTTGTGATATGTAGTTGTATGCTAAGAAGGAGATGTTTAGTTCTTAGAAATAGAAGTGAGATGGAGAAAAAAGCATTAAGTTTTATGCTTTTTTTTGTTAAAATATGGGCAGTTATGTTAACTAAATTCACCCATTAAGTTTGAAACTTGGTCCGTGGGGAATTAGTTTTACTTTTTTAGTTTTTTTCCAAATCTTCCCTCCATTATTTTTTTTTTAATTATTGAAATTTGTGAGGCAATTTTTTGGGATGTTTTTGTAATATTTTAAAAGTATGATTAACACGTTAGGGTATTTCTAGGTTTTTGAAATTGAAGCTTACGGTTCCAAAAGTAGGACTTTCTTTAAATAAGCAAGGTTTTAAATATCGGATATCGGGAAAATATCGGATGGCCAAAATTCATATCGGATCGGGGAAATATCGGGGAAATATCGGGGATGTGGTAAATATCGGAATGCCATAATGAATGTTTGCATACATAGTATAATGCATTAAAATGTAATCTCAACATATGTAATGAAATTTTAAGCATACAAAATATGAATAATATATGTTTATGCATTAAAATGTAATCTCAACATATGTAATGAAATTTTAAGCATACAAAATATGAATAATATATGTTTAGGATCAGTAATCAACCTTTTAAAACAAACAAAAGTACAAAGCAACGTTGCAACATTCGATCTGTTTTTTTTAGGGCAAAATGTCATTTGATATAATAGGGAAATCTTGATATCTTGCCCAAAAATTCCAAACACGGTATATTATTTTGCAATAAGCTATATAAAAAAGATATATTGATCCACATATCGGCTAATATATCGGTCATATCGGGGATTTATCACTCAAAATAGCCAAAAAGCGGTAAATGATATTTAAAGATCATATCGGTTGTGACAAGCCCTGTAAAAGGATATATCGGGGGATATATCGGGCCATGTCGGGGATATTTAAAACAATGTAAATAAGAGTATTAGATTAGAATTAAAATTCCTCCACATTTTTAAGTTAATGTTATTATGTTCATTAAATAAATTGGAAACTGCTCAGTTTTGAACTAGAGACCCAAACGAACCTCTAAAATCATAATTCTGAACTTGGGTATGGGTGAAATGAAGCCCATCCATGTCTATCAAGGATCAAGCTTCAAGAAATGATGTAAAGTGTAAGATATATGACATGAAGTGTATGGCAACTGTTTTAAATTAAAACATATATCATATAATTGAGTACATGTCTGACTAAATGTATGCATATGTTTAAGGAGTGTCCGTGAAGTTTTGGTATGGGTATGTATCATATACGGGTATGGCTTTCATGATAAAGGTATGTGGGTAGCTTAGACTACCATAATAACGCAAATCAAGCTTCCAACCTAAATTCATTTAATTTGCTACATGAATTCATTTTCATGTGCTGCTCTAAATTCTGCGATAAGATGACAAATGAAAAAGGATAATTAGCAATAACTCAGGAGATGAATTTCTGAAGGATATTATTCTTTTAGGCTAAACTGTATTTAAATACCCTATGGTTTCCTCTACTTTTCACTTATATATCTTTGCTTATTTTTGGCAACAGTTTTACACCCTAAAGTTTTCAAAAACTAGCACTTATATACCCTCACTTGTTGTTGCAGCACTTATACACCCTCAATGTTACATTACACGTTGGGCGCTTCTAGGCGTCGGACTTGGCGCCCAGCGCTTAGTCGTCTAGGCGGACGCCTAAATGGTTTCTGGGCGTTTTTTTTTTCTTTCTTCATTTAAGTGGTGGTCGATGAGGTTTTGTTGAAGGTCGGAGGATGTAGTGGAGGTGTTCATATTTGGAGGTTAATGGAGTTTGGAGGACGTGTAGGCTAGGACACATAAAATCACAATCAAGACCTATAGGGTGCAATCCACGTAAGCAGACAATGCTCCCCTAAACGCGCGTAAAATCTAGGTGGACAACCTAAATACCGCCTAGGCGCTAGGCGCTAGTTAGACGGCCTAGGTACCGCCTACGCCTAGGCGTACGTCTAAACGGACTAGGCGGAGGTTTTTTAAAACAGTGTACACCCTAAAGATTTCTAAAACTTGCACTTAAATACCCTTAGTTTTAAAAAACATTAGGGTATTTAAGTGCAAGTTTTAAAAACTTTAGGATATTTAAATGACGGTTTTAAAAACTTAGGATATTTAAGTGCAAGTTTTAAAAACTTTAGGGTATATAAGTGCTCTTAAAATAAGTGAGGGTGTATAAGTGCAAAGTAGGGGAAACTATAGGGTATTTATGCAATTTTAATCCTCCTTTTTTTCCAATGCCCCTATTAAGCTACAAATAAAAGTTTTCCAGCTTGTAGAAGAAAAAGTGTAAGGGAATATTTTAATCCAGCAAAGCTGAATAAATCTTGGATTATATTTGTTTTGCAGTTACACTTCAATCTCTGATTCATTTGATGAGCCAGCTGTGATGCAAAAATCTTGTAGTGAAACATATGTTGCTGGAAACTAGAGGGGTGAGTTGTATTATTGGTAGAGAATGAAATGTGTTCCACCTCTTTCCCCCTGCATGACCTTTGACTGGAAGCTTGTGCATTAAATTGCAGGATTATAACTGACTGTTTTTCCAAAAGACCTTATCATCTGGCTGTGTGATTTGTGTGATTAAAAGTGAAATAATATTGCATTTGAGAATTAAGTATAGGTGGGTGAAGGGCTTGCCAAGCTATGGGAGATCGTCGGTTGAAACCTAGTGAAATAAAGGAAATTCCTCCCTTAGTCAGGAGATCCGAGTGTGTTTTTAGAGTGTTTGTACTTCCCACTTTAGCATTGTAATAGGGCCGCTACTTTTGCATGCATCATTCTAGCTTTATATTGGTAATAGATTTTAGGTGTTTGTCTTCTGACTTCCATCAATACTAATATGATCGAGCATTTTCTAAAAAGTTTTAATAAATGTAAAATAAACTTGTAGACACATCCAAGATTCATGAAGTGCTTTGTTTATGCCAAGTCTGGCACCCAATTGCGCATGATTATGATTTTTGTGAGAACAGTCTTTTGCATTTCTGCTTTTCTTATTCTTTATTTGTTATTCTTATGTCTTATTGTTTTGTAATTAACTTTAGGTTTCTAAGATAGGGTTCTTCTATTATCAAATTGTGCCTTGTGAAAAACTGTGATTTTAAATTTTTTATTTAGAATGTCGATGCTACAGTGTTCGAGCCCAACAGTCATTCAATGTGACTTTCTTGAGTTATATTTACCACAGACCTGAATTTAGTTGCTAGGATTTCATGCGAGGAAGACAGATTTTATATATAGAAACTTTAAAACGGATCCTAGAACTGATGGTTAAGAAGCTTAAGAAGTGGAGTGGTTCTCAGTGGAACTGTCATTCAATAAATCTCCACTGGTACCCATCCATTACTCCAAAGAGCTGAGTATGCACTAGTCATCAAAGAAATGGAAGGAGAGAAAAAAAATACTCAGTTTTTGATAGAACTTCATTTTTGTCTATACTGAAATCTCCTTTTGCTTTTGCAATGGTTCTATTAAGGATTTTCCTTAAATCAGAAAATTTGATGCAAAATATGCAACCGTTCTCTTTGCATTACTCATAAGTTTATTCATGCAGATATATCAGCATCAGCACAACAAACAAATGAGCTGCCCTGCAATGGGTCAGCTGCTCTCCAATACCCTTTACTTCAAGCGTTTCTTCCCATACTATGCTTTCAACGTGCTAGGTGGCCTTGACAATGAAGGTTGAACCAGTGCCAAACATTTAGTTTTTAACTGGGGTTTATTGCACGTGCCCCTGTAGCATTGTTGTTTTGAACTTACTACCCCTGTAGTTTCATAATTGCATGTTGACCCGAGTTAAAATTTTCTGACTCTTCCACACTGATAAGCTTACTAATCTCACCTTGGGACAATATCCACCAAAATTTCCCAAGGGGTGCGAGAGTTGAAAAATTTTTAACCCAGAGGGTTATCTGCAACAGTGAACTGCAGGGGTTCTAAGTTCAAAATTTTGAGACTACAGGGGGTCTATGTGGAATTGATCCTGTTTAACTTTATGCCTCCACTCTAAATTCTTGCTTATAACTTTTTTCATTCTTCAGGAAAGGGATGTGTGTTCACTTATGATGCCGTTGGATCCTATGAGAGGGTTGGTTACAGTGCGCAAGGTTCTGGATCTACTCTCATCATGCCCGTTTTGGACAATCAACTGAAATCTCCTAGTCCTCTTTTGCTTCCTGCTAAGGTATTCAAATATAGTTACTTAATATTATTAAACTTAGATTTTAGTTCTAAAGAAATTGAGCTTGTTTATGCTTTTAAACTTGAGCAGGATGCTATTACACCACTCTCTGAATCAGAAGCAGTTGACATGGTGAAAGATGTTTTTGCTTCGGCAACTGAAAGAGACATATATACAGTACGTCTGTTGAATCATCTCTTCTTCTTTTTAAAAAAAAAATTATTTAAACGAATGTTGAATCATCTATCATGCTGTAATTGTCTAAAAAAAAATTATATTTTTAAAAAGTTTATTTTTTTTGTTTTTTTTTGTAGGGAGATAATTTAGAAATCGTGGTCATTAATGCAGCTGGGATACATCGTGAGTTTATTGAACTGAGGAGAGATTAGGTTCATTTCCTTCTGCTGCTGTGGTCAGTTTGTTTTGGATTGTTGCAAATGGCCCTTTGTACTTCTTTATGAACCTGATTTTTCCTTTATTATGTAATGTATTGGGCTAAACGTATTTCTGGAATTGGATTTGCTGTCGTTGGACTGTATCCCCTTTCTCAAGACAGAAGGCCTTTCTACAAGTGTTTTTGCCCCATCTTAGGGCCTCTCCAACCGGACGATAAAACACCAATTTGGCGCCACTTCCCTCCAACGCAGCGCCAATTTATTTCGTGGGGGTGCTACAGTGTTGCGCCACGAATGGTGCAACACTGTAGCAAAGGTGCGGTTCTTTTTTTTTTTTGCTTTTTTTTCTAAACTTTATTATTTTATTCATATTTTCTTTTCTTTTTGCTTTTTTTTTCTAAACTTTATTCTTTTTTCTTTTGTTTTTTATATTTGTATTAATAATATATTATTTTATATTATAATTATTATAATGAAATTAGAGTATAAAATAATTATTAAAATAAAATTAAAAAAGAAATAAGAAAAACTACACCATTTAGATAAAAATTAGGACATAAAAATGTAATGCCTTTTATTTTTATTTTTTGCTTGCAAGTGTGATGTTTTTTTTGTGATGTTAAATGTAATCTTTAGTTGAATTTATGAAAATAATATTTTAATTTAATTTAACATTTAATTTTTTATATTTTTATTTTATTCATAAAATATATTATTATAATTAATTATATGTAATGTATTATATAATTATATAATTTGTTAAATATTTTAAATAGATAAAAATGTTAAAAGATAAGAATAATAAAAGGAATATTTTTTTTGGTGTAAAATTTGGTGTAATGGGTTGGAGATGGAATAGTGATTTGCTGTAAAAACTATATCAACTTGGTGTAAAATCTACATCATTTTGGGTTGTGGTTGGAGATGCTCTTAAGTTTAGATACCTACAGTTTTTCCTTGTGCAATAGTTTGAAATTTTCAAGTAAATGCATTTATGCCTTCACTTGAGTTAATTGAGCGAATGCATTGGACCTGACCGAACTCTTTGGGGGCAGAAAGTCAAGTATTTAACGAAAGCGGAGGATCCATGACTTCTGCAAAAGCGTCTGAGAGGAAGACTATGAACCTAATGCTACAGTATAATAAAGACTTTTAGTCAATTTGACCCGCCTGTTCAGTTGCACTTGATTTATTTTCAACCGAGGAATTTCCCAATGGTAAGAGCTTGGCTTATTTTCGCTTGATCCCCTGCAGTTAACTCCTTATTTTCACTTTTACGCCACAAAGTACTTTTTTTATCCCTTTGATATGCCAAAGTTTCAATGTCATTTCATTTTGATATCCAGAAGTGTTTTTTTTTTTTCACCTTTGAGGCTTTGACGACGCTAGCTCTGAAGTTTCAATTTCACTCCACATTGGTGTCTCCGTTTAGATTATGTTGGATTCTTTTATTAAATTTGTATATGTGCTTAGCAAGTAGATTCTAAACTTATCGCATATGCTAAGGATGCGATAGAAATTTAACGGAAAATCTAATGCAATCTAGACCAGGTATCAAAGCTTGGGCATATCAAAGTGCTAAGGGGCTGTTTGGTTCGCTATTATAAAGGGTGGAAAACTCACAAAACCCCTTCACGTCAGATTTTTAGCCCTCCACGTTAGTTTTTTTGTTTCCGTCCATTTTTTTGTGCCGCTTTGGTTCGCTCGGATGGAAGAGAGAAAATTCTGCTGAAATCGCCGCCAACTAAGATTTTTTTCCTCTCTGATTTCCTTCCCCAACAAAGTGAAATTGATGAAAACTCTGCCACGTCATATTTTTTTTCTTCTCTGCTTTGTTTACAAAAGTTTACCTTTTTTTTTCTATGCGAACCAAACACAAGAAAAATAAATACATTGATTCCCCACCATTTTTTATGTGCGAACCAAAGTAAAACAATCTATTTCTTAGAAAAGTTTGGAAAACTCAAAATTTATGTTTCTTTACATGGAATTGCATTTCTCTATATCAAGGAAACGAACCAAACAGCCCCTTAACGATAGAAATGTATAATTAATAAATGAGTATGTGACAAATTATCAAAACTTGAGGCGACTTCGCAGCTCCTTAAGTCCAATGTACTTTTTGTATTTATTTTGAAACCCAATTCTAAAATACCATACTCTCATATGTGGGTCCCACTATTTACTTTTCTAAAATTCCAATAATAACCTTCCACTTATAACTTTCATGTAGGTGGGCCCCCCTCAAATAAAATAAAAAAATATAGAGAGAGAAAGAGAGAGAAAAGTGACGGTAAAATTCCCTCCTCCCCTCTCTCTCCGTCTTCTATCTCTCTCCGCGTCTTCTTCTCCGTTTCTCTCACCCCATTAATATAACCGAACACTCTCCTTTAACCCATCATTTAATAACTCTCTCCTATAACCCAGCAATTATTTCTCACCAACTTTCTTAGCATTTGAAGGTACAAACTTGCAATTTACTCAACTATCAAGTTTATAGCATTAATTTCTCATTTTAATCATGATAATTATTTGATATGTTAGTTAAATGAGTTCATAAAAATTATTAAATTCGTCAATTTTGGTAAAATGTTAGTTAAATGAGGTTTTGTAATTAACCACCCATTAATTTCACATAATTATTTCACATTAGTTATTTCACATAATTATTTCACACTAATTTCTTATTATTCTTTATTCTTTATGAATTCATAACAATTAGTTAAATATTAGTCTCTAAATTTTTCTCTAAATTTGTTTATTTTTGGTGATAAATATAGATGGATGAAGAATTGTATTGTGCATTGACGGATTTTAGAGGACACAATCACTTTTTAGAATTAAATGTCAACGGGGGTTACAAAGATTTGGCCGTTGCAGTGCAAAGCCTAATTGCTTGTAGTGCAAGCACGATACAGTTGACTTACAAAGTACCCCACACGCAAGAAATTTATGTTCGTGTATGTGATGATGCTGATGTCTCGATAATGGTCAATGTACATCGAAGTTGCAAGGAGAATATTGTTGTCATGAACGCTGAGATGAATCGAGACATATTATTTGGGATACAAGCTAACAATGTCCATATAAGGTAATTTACACTATTGATATAGTTTCGTACTTTTAACATTATCACTTTCTTAACTCTTGTACAATTTTCTATGCAGTAATCCGTATATCCCCTCTAGTGACGAACATGTGTCTCGTTCACAAAATCCATCGTATTCACAAAATATGTCTCGGGAAGTTGAGAGCTCTAATATGATTCCTATTGCATGGCACAATGCTATTAGAAGTGTTGGTCAAGAATTTGATGATGTTGAGCATTGTCGGCGGAGTTTAAGCAATTACTCTATTGCACGAGGATTTAACTTTGAATTTGTAAAAAATAAACGCAAAAGGGTGACAGCAAAATGTAAGGCCGCAAATTACGAATGGATGGTTCATTGCACCCGTCGTAGAGATAGTGATCGATTCTATGTGAAAAAAATATGTAGTTCTCATAGTTGCTTGGGAGGAGGCATAGGAAAGGAAGGATATCAACGGGCATCTCGTAAGTGGAATGCTAATCAACTCAAGACCATATTGAAGGAACAACCCACTTATCGCCCAATTGATTTCCAAAAGAAGCTTAAAATGGAATTTGGTTTGGACGTCCCTTATCATAGAATTTGGTGGGGAAAAGAGCTAGCTCAACGTGCTATACTTACAGATTAACGTGCTATACTTACAGGTTAACGTTCTATACTTACATATTAACGTGCTATACTTTCGGATTTACGTGCTATACTTACAGGTTAACGTGCTATACTTTCATATTAACGTGCTATACTTACAGATTAACGTGCTATACTTACAGGTTAACGTGCTATACTTACAGGTTAACGTGCTATACTTACAGGTTAATGTACTATACTTACAGGTTAACGTGCTATACTTATAGATTAACGTGCTATACTTAAATATTAACATGCTATACTTACAGATTAACGTGCTATACTTTCGGATTTACGTCCTATACTTACAGAAATATTAACATGCTATACTTTCGGATTTACGTGCTATACTTTTATATTAACGTGCTATACTTTCATATTAACGTGCTATACTTTCGATACATCGTGCTATACGTACTCCTTAACGTGCTATACTCTTAATATAACGTGCTATACTTTCGATATAACGTGCTATACTTACTCCTTAATGTGATATACTCTTAATATAATGTATCTACGTGCTATACTCTCAATATAACGTGCTATACTTTCATATTAACGTGCTATACTTACAGGTTAACATGCTATACTTACAGGTTAACGTGCTATACTTTCGGATTTACGTGCTATACTTACAGATTAACGTGCTATACTTTCGGATTTACGTGCTATACTTACAGATTAACGTGCTATACTTTCGGATTTACGTGCTATACTTTCATATTAACGTGCTATACTTTCATATTAACGTGCTACACTTACAGATTAACGTGCTATACTTACAGGTTAACGTGCTATACTTACAGATTAACGTGCTATACTTTCGGATTTACGTGCTATACTTTCATATTAACGTGTTATACTTTCATATTAACGTGCTATACTTACAGATTAACGTGCTATACTTACAGGTTAACGTGCTATACTTACATATTAACGTGCTATACTTACATATTAATGTGCTATACTTTCATATTAACGTGCTATACTTACAGATTAACGTGCTATACTTACAGGTTAACGTGCTATACTTTCATATTAACGTGCTATACTTTCATATTAACGTGCTATACTTACAGATTAACGTGCTATACTTACAGGTTAACGTGCTATACTTTAATATTAACGTGCTATACTTACAGGTTAACGTGCTATACTTACATATTAACGTGCTATACTTACAGCTTAATTTCTTAATAAATTATTTGTTTTTTTTGTTTTTTGTTGTTTGTTGCTATTTCTTTGTTTAAAATATTTTATAAATATTTAAGCTTATTTAATCTTGTGACCTACATTGTGAGTCGGCGACCTACATTGTGAGTCGGCTCAAGGTCGACTCACAATGTGTAGTCGACTCCAAGTCGACCTTCTACCGTCGGGAGACTCTTTTCCTGGTATCTATTTCTTTCGGTTTTGGTTTTGAGATGTTATATAGACCCGACCCGTTTGTCTACCTG